AACTTATGAGGTACACATCTTCCTATCCACTTTACTAAGCGTATGGTTACCGGCCCCAAAAATGAGGCCATTTTTTTACATTTTTTTTCCAAATTTGCAGCCTTTTGTACAGTATATGATACTTACTAATTATATATGTATAGACATAGTTAAAACTGTTACATTTTTTTGGTTGTGATATCTTTTTCATAACAGAACATTTGGCTAATAAACTGTTATGAAAAAATGCTCACTCGGATTTTTTTAACATTGAAACAACAGGACATTTGCGCAAACACGACTTGATATAAGTTCCGCATAGCTAGATTTAAACCCCAATTCATAGTTACATTAAATAAGATGACGATATTTTTAAATTTTTTTTTCTTGTAATTTTTCTGAAAAAATTCTAACAAGAATCGAATGGACAAATTTTAAGTTTGAACTCCGAAAAAGAAACTACACTTCGACATTTCGTAAATTTAGTGATCATGAATTTAACATAAATAAAAAATCAATACATTTCTTCTAACTATCTACTGTGTCTACATGTTTTCTAATATTTTAATGGACACACTTCTTCCTAGGTTCTATAACATAACATGTTACGTCTAAAACTCGAAGAGCGTGGTATACCAAGATTTGGCTGCCAAGATGCGTGTAGTCGATTACAGTTGGTTAAACTTAGGTGTTTTCAATTTATCCATGGATAAAATTTGGTGTGGCAAATTGCTTTAGGCTAAAACTAGGTCTGGCTTTCATTATATTGGAGAATACTAGCGGGTATTAATTTCAGCGACAAAATATTAATATGCAGCTTGGGTGCCCGGCCATTGTGTTACCCCAAAGCAGTTTTAATTTATATAATATAGTAAATATAACAATATATAAATTATACGAAACTACTCAAAAAGTATGGGTAATCCGAGAAAATCCAGATAAATCTAGATTTATTCACCATTAATAAATCTAATACACCTGAGTATAACCAATCGCAATCGGCTACACTTGTCGCCGGTCAAACCTTGGTATATTCACAATTCGGCTTTTAGCCTTAACATTTGAATCAATAAAGTGATACTTTTGTAACCGTTAACCGCAGTTTTTTGTTTCATTCAACACTTAAAGTAAACTTTAAATGTAGTGAAAGTCAAAGGTATCCGTTTCCCTTCTGATGAATATGGTGAAATCAATTTCTTTCTCGCAACAGTAGAAAGCAATCGTGATACAAAACGTTTCCAAAAATACACAAACATTTATCTGTATTCTCACTTCTATGTCATTTGTCAACAATATTTTAATAATGAACATTGATTAATTACTTTCTTTTAAGAAATCTGAAGCTTTACATTTTAACAACAGCGTTATTAGTCTTAATTATTTGTTAAATGTAGTTTCTTCGTCAGTACTGTAACTGCGGGAACATTTAGAGAGAAAAGGCAAATATCATTTTGATTAAAAGTTACTACGCCTTCTAGTGAAAGCTTTCTAATATTTAGTCACAATATGGGAAAGCTCCGCCCAATCGCCATTAGCTTTAACATAGTCTATTGAAGCACAAGTCCAATATTGTTTCCTCTTATCAATTATATTATATAGGTAAGCTACGCGATAACTGAGCTTTATGTCCAATATATATGATAAACATAGTTGGTGAATAGTCGTTGATATGCAACTATTTGTCACTTACGGAGTTAAGGCTTTCGCCTTATTGTATTCCGGCATCATCATATTCAATCGCCTCATTTAATTCAATTTAAAGAAAATAAAGTTATATCTGAAACAATAAAATAAAAATTGACCCCCCATTAATGTACACAAAACTTATGTAATTATATTTTAAACATATTTGCAATACAACAGAAAAGATGAAAGGGATCTTCGTGATTCAATATATGCATTTAATAAAATGAAATGAACGAGCGTCACGATGAAAAGATACGTGGCGTCGATATAATAAATTAAATTAAATTGTCCTAATTCCCTTGTGAATGATTGGATGGGTTTGTTTTTTTGGCTTCCATGTGTAAGTCTTTGTAGAATTGATTTTTTTACGTTTTTATCATAAACAAACAAAAAATAAGTTGGTCTTAATTACAATTGAACTTAATAAAAGGTTTGAGCCGAATATGAAATTGTTGATAAATGCAGTAAAGGGCAGAGATACAAAGACACTCAAAGGTATTAAGGTCATTTAAAAAAATATTACCTAGATGATACATTACTGTAGGATTGCGCGAAACTAACCCCAGCTAAAGGTCAAATATTAATTAATATACATAGCAACTGGCACTAATAAAATTTACTGTAACAGTTACATAATATAACCAACGGTTAACTTGATATATGGAAGCTTTTATTTACCCCAGGATCAGAAAATACGACAACGTATGAGCAGGGAAACTATTTGCTTTTAAGCTAAGGTTGAGAAATATAAAAAGGAGCCTTATAACTCAGTATCCGCAAACTCTCTCCACGAATATACCTTCTAGAATTCAGTTTGATGTCGTCTATATATAAATAAACGTCGCGGGTAAATCGAGCATTCGTTACACTCTTTAATCTATTACAATACTTCATCCAATCACTGGTCCGGCCAGCTAATTAAGTAAATAATCAATTAGTATACACATAAAACTATATAATACACGTAATTCGACCTATATTACAATTTTTCATTCATTTTAACTGTTTAGGCATACAAAAAGACAAATAACTATACCATTTTTTACTTCAAGTGAAAATAAACTAGAAAGTTAGCTAAAGAAACCATAAGCCAGCAATGCCAACTAAAACTCATAATATTGTAATATCAGTTTTAAATATTTATTAATATTTTACTATATGAGTACAAAGGTTATCTATATATTTATTTAGCCTGACAGAGTGCAATGTCTTAATTTTTTACAACACTAATATTAAAAGCAAATAATGTAAATTAAATTGATTCTTCAATAATTTCTCGAACAATTGTATTCCAAATTATGGTGTAAATAACTATTTATCACTCGAAAAGCTGGCATTTACCGCACAGTTAGTTTAGCGTTTTTATATTGTTATGTATTAACTACGTCACAGCCACTTAAATTTACTTTTAATGAAGCTTGTTTTATACTAAAATGGACCGTATTCAATAGGATTTAATAGTTACAACGCAGAAGCAAGATTTTATGCAACATTCAAAAGTAAACTTGCAGAATGCTCATTGCAGCTACAGGTAATTAATACAAAATTAACTCGAATAGTATGGTGCATGTGTCTACTTTTGAATGTTTCTATAAAACGACCATATTATTTCGTATAGGGCCTATAATGTCAAATAGTTACAAATATGTAGTACAATGTTATACAATACAATATGAGTTGACGTAGCCTGGGGAAATTGTCTTCAAGATTTACAAATAAATGCAGTCTACCTATTTATAAAAAGATCTTCATTTCAAACATTGACCTTGCTCTCAAAACCTAGTGGCCCTCTTTATTCAGAAACCATAATTAAAATTATATTTAAAACACTATACATGTATTACCAACTACAGATTATATCAGCAATAATTTTATTGGGACTTAAGCTATCAATGAAGGTTTGATTAAATGACGAATGATTTGCGAAATAAAACAAGAAATATTGTCAGTAAAATGAACACAAAACAAAATAAAAATTACAAAATCTGTAGTGGCAACCTTTAATTATTTTAATTTGAAAAGAAGTCAAACTTCCATCAAAAAATCTAAAATTCAAAGTTTAAATTATGTTACCTTCTAAAGTCTATGGTTGGTGTAAATTGAGTTTAAATTAGAAAATTTGCATCAACAATTTACCTCAGTACACCCTGTATTCTAATTAAAATATTTTAATAACGATTATAATTCAAAATAATAACAATTCAAATTTTATTAATCATAGGCCAGAATATTTTTTATTTTCGTATAACTTTATTTTAACATATTCACTTTATAAGGGACATTTATGTAAATAATTGTTTAAGTGGTTTATGTTGCCAGATAATTGTTATAATTTGGGAACCTATGGGAACAGAATTATTAGAACACAATTAATACATTACGTTAATAATAATAACCGAAAACATTTTAAACGTGACTCTGAAATTACGTCTTATTTTCTTATAAATTATTATGTGGTTTTATAACCGCTGCAACGTTTTTCATCGAAATTTATTAATGTGTGTACAAGCAACACTGCAAAAACGTTACGTAAGGTAATAATTATTAGAATAACTTTCAGAAACGTAGATTTAATTGGGATTAACACAATAACCACCTGTTAGAATTCACCGTGACATACTATTATACACTAAAAGGAATGATTATCATGACTGGTTTCATACTTTTTTTTTGAAATTCAATTCGATGTAAAAAAAAAATTTTTTTGTAATTAATAAATACCTAGAAAGATAAGTAATTGCTTAAAATTATTCCTTGTTTTTCCTTACTGACGTCGCTATAAACATAATATACATGGATACAGAAGAGTTGAAGCGATGAAATTATATTTGGTATCAAGTAATGAATAACATATATTCACGTGAAATAATATTTAACTTTGTATTTTTTTGGGTACTTTAGGGCCTTCCACATCGGCCGTTTGCCTCAACTCCTCGGCCTTCTTTAAAACCTTCAAGTTCTGTACAGAATCATCGGTGAAATAATCAAACAAAATAAAAAGAAATAAATATTGTCGATTTATTTATCTTCTTTTGAATCGTCGTAATACATCACGTTTCCCGCGCTACCCCCATTTTGTTACGAATATCTCGCGAAAACAAAAATTAACTAGAGAGTGCATTAACTAATACATTAAATGTAGGCATCATTACTTCTTTAATATCACACGTTTCTTAAAAACAAATCATATGTACAAAACACAATCCGGCGTGAGGCTTGGGGAGCGTTCGGCTAGCGGAGGCGGCGGTTGGGGGCGGGGGGCGGGGGGGCGCGGGCTAGAAAACGAGGACGGGCGGTAGCGCGGGCGCGGGCGCGGGCGGGCGGGCAGCCGGCCGTCACGTGACCTCCATGGGAAGCGCGTCGGCGGTGCGCCGACGCACGGCGCCGTTGCTGGCGGGCTCTCCGCCGTCCGCCGCGCCGCCCGCCTCCAGCGGCGCCGTGCCCGTCAGCCCGCTGCCGAGACCGCTCGCCAGCCCCGAGGACGACGCCACCGCCACGCCAGCGGTCGTCGCCTCCACGATTTCACTGAAATGTAACCATTCACATTTTATACAAATTATAATACAGTTACACGCGACGTTTAGCGGCGCTATCTTCGATCAACAATACCAACTAGATGTCGGGTCGGTGCAAGAAATCCATCTCAGTAAATAAGAGCGCACATGAGACGTGAGCTCTTGCACGTGAGAGTGTAGCTCGCAAGGCAATAACGGGAAAAAGAACTTTATTGGTTATAACTTAAGGTTGATTTCACACTAAAAGTTATTTAATTTGTCTTTTCATAGTTTATATTCATGCGGACAGTATTTAGTTATGATTTTATACGTGACCCGTTATCTATGGTATTGTTGATCGAAGGGCGCTATAATAAAATCTACTACGACCCGTGAGTGCCGTAAAAAGCGGAACAGAACAATACAGAACGAAACCAATGAATCAGGCAGCAGCAGCGCGGCAGCTTCTCCTAGAAAATACAAAACTGCAGTTTCCAACCCGCTCGTCAAGCGTGGCACCTATCAGAGTTGTTCCCCCTATAAGGCAAGGTTCCCGAATTGCAGCCACAGACCGGTAGGGGTAGTGTAGGGCAACCCCTCTCCCCTACTAGATGGAGCGAAGACCTGATACGAAATGCAAGAAATCGATGAATGTAGGTGACTCAGGACCGTGCTTTGTAGCATTCCTTGAGGGATACCTACTAGACTTGTAAAGGGCTGTCTGTAATGATCATGAATGATGATAAGACAATCTATAGAAAAAAACCTATATTCAGCAGTGGACTTTAGTATGCTTTAACAGCAACAGTTACACAGCCACTGTGTAACATCCATTACAACTACAAACATAAATTGCACAAGGATAAACATCCATACCCGGAGCAACTATATGTAGGCCATATAAATACTTGTTCCGTGCGGGATTCGAACCCGCGACCCCCAACGCAGCCAGTCATTTCTAAGCCACTGCGCCACGGAGTCGTCATAATTGTGAACCCAAACAGATAAACTAAATACCCTATTCATTACAACCTATAAAAAGTCCATTGCTGAACATAGGCCTCCCCCATAGATTGCGTGACAGGGGGTATTTTGCCATAGTTGTAGCGGCGGTGTAAGAATATTCACTATGCCATATCGTCCCGTGGATGTCGTAACAGGCGACAGAGGGAAATTGAAACAGATAATGGCCAGCCACATCTTCATAACAAGCAAAAATAATAAAAAACTGCGGTTGACAATCCCCTCGCCAAATACCCCGTAATGATATTTTGTCTTTTTTTTTTAATTCCCCATATAGGTATTACAAAACATCGGAATAAAAAAAATCTGAAAAATTACAAATATTTTAAAGAAGACAACAATACTCACGCAACGGGCGTCGCTCGTGGCTGAGTTATAAGCCTCGCTTGCCTCGCTTTCAACTGCGCAGTTGAAAAAGCGATTGCTTGCACGTTGCCCGCCAGCCCACCAGGCCCTGAGATGGCGATCTTCTGACCACCCTTCGGTAACTGCACATTCTTCTGCAACAGATTCGCGACGACGGAACTCGGTATCGATGTCTTCGACGGTGCCGCTATCGTTATAGACGTCGAGGGCTCCGACGATGTCCTAGCCAAGGGCGCAGCGACTTGCAGGGTCCGATTTTTCAAGTGGATCTGATGTCGGACGTTCGGGGCTCGCACTGGTAACGCCGCCCGGACGATTTGCCTTCCGTCCAGACTAACGCTGACCCGATGAGGCCGTGTCGCTGTAGCCACGTTACCTTTTAACGCACCATCAAATACAACTTGGCGTTTCCTCGCATCATTGATATCGAGCCGCGCGACTGTAGTTTTGCCAGGTGGCGGTTGCCTTACAACATTCACTAAATGAGGCCCCCCCTTTTGCTAATTGGCCGCTCTTGATCTCGAAGAATTGGGTAACAGAGCCTGGAGCGGCTTTTAGGAGGGGTTTTCCATCTCCAAGGGCCGCTAACGATACGACCGTTGGAAGTTGAGCGAGGGAACGATTTTGTAAGAGTTGAGCTCGCTGTGTATGTGTAAGTGGATGAGCGTGGAGTACTTTGAGTTTACTGGAGGGCACATGGTGCACGTGTGGAGCGACTACTACCGCTGGTGGAGGATGTAACTGCAGTGGTTTGTGACCGAGGGCAGCTGGGGCTAACTGGACCAACGGGGCGGCGACTCTTCTCGTCGTCGTGGTATTTGCGACACTACCCACTGAGCCCACGTTGCCCACGGTGCCAATTGTTCCCACGTTGACGATGTTGCTTGTCGGCACTGCATTACCCGCGCTTGCCGTAACTGAAAGAGAGGTTAAGATAACATACTTAAGATTTAAATTTGAATGTAGATTAAATTATAGGCGTTTTAATACACAAAATCATTTTTCCTTCAAAAATATTTTAATAAATATTTATTTTTTATAATAAAAGGTATTGAAATAGATTTATTTTTCCGTACATTATTTTTTACGTACAAAATGTAATCGTCAATGAATTTTACCCCTAAAGAACCCATTTTATGGATATTTATCTCTTCTTCCATAATCTCGATTAAGAGTCAGAAATCAAAGTGCAGATGATGATGATTGTTGATGGTGATTTTGATAGACCCCTCAGGTCTAAAATGCCTCTTAACCAGTTTAAAAAGGTCTAAATTCTCGTCAGTCACTATGTTGTTTCATGCTTTTTATCTATACTATATACTATATGTTTTATAATATAGGTCTAAGTTCTTGTCAGTTTCTTGTTTTATGATTTTAATCTATACTATATACTATATTACTATATATTTTATAATATAATAAAGCGGATGAGTGTTTTTTTTCGTTTGTTTAAAAACGCTTATCTCTAGTACTACCAGTCCGATTTAAAATAATCTTTTTGTATTTTATAGCCAGACTCATGAGGAATAGTATATGATATTAGCATAATTAAATACTGATTTTGTTTGGAAAGTCAGAAGAAAAAACGCTCCCGAAATGATTTAACCGCGTGTGCTGGCGTTATGGTTAGTGGTACGGAAATACAACGTTCTACAAAAATATAGATCTTTACTCAATCCAAAAAAGTTCTTGATACCATGCCTATTTCAGATACATAAGCCACAATAAGGTGTTTTGTGATAAACATATATTGAAACAAGTGATTTATGAGAGGTATTATTAGACACGGTATATTAATTCCTAGGAACGAAAGTTACTTCATCATTGAGACAATTTTATGAAAATAAACTGCTCTTTACAACATGTTATTTGGACGCATAGTTTAAGAGATAATGAAAAATTAAAATAATTCAATACTCGGCTCAGCGCGCGAACGACACCTAGCCAGCTGATGAGAATCGAGAGAAATCAGCGGTGAACGTCTCTCTATAAGCGATGTGTTATGTCGCGCGGCTTGGGTGCATGATATACGCGGGTGAAACCGCGAGGCACTGCTAGTCTGTGGTAAAGTGGCTCTTCCGTGTTAACATATGTAATGATGTAGGTGCGGATGTATAAATATAAAATTGGTACAGTTGCTTTGTGTACGATGTTTGTCTATATCCACTCGAATGTTGGGGTCATTTTGGCCAATATGGCGCATCTGTCGAGCACTTTCCGAAGTACTAAGTAAGTATATAACAAGTATACTAAGTATATATAATTATATATTAAGTACATAAAAATCATATATCAATGGAAACGTTATTAAATTAGCTATCAGATTATGAATAACAGATATATATGTTATATATATATATGTTACAAATAGTTTGCTATTACTCGACTCGTTTGACAGATGCGCATAGTATATGAGAAGCCAAAATATGGACAGACGAGGGGATATAATATAGCAGAATTAGTGCATATAATAATGTCCTGACTTAATTTCGGTCACTGCGGTAAATCTTAACCGATATTAGTCATCTGCGCAGGGTCGGGTTATAGGGCACAAGTGTGTGCGGAATCAGTGCAATTTTAATTCCCTCATAAGCATAGTCCGATGGAACGAAAATCTGGATTCATGCACTTGCCGAGCTACTAATATACTTATAACTTTCCGATTCTGGGATTCTTTTTAGAATTTCTTAGTAGAAAAACCCAATCACCGATTTGGTTCTCAACCAGCATTCGGATCTCGGATCATAAGGTAGCATCTCGCTTACGAGCATTAGACTAATAAGGATCATTAATGCATATGATTGCGCTGCGTGTATGTGCGTGTGCGTATGCGTGCGTGCGTGCTCACCGAGGTCGCGCGGCGGCACGGGCAGCGCGACGGCGGCGAAGGGCCCGTTCTGCAGCAGCCCCACCACGGTGCCCGGCCCACCGCCGCCGCCGCTCGTCACGCTCGCCTGGCTGGCTTCCCTCGCCTGGCTCGCCAGCCGCACCTGACGGACGCAAACTGTATAAAACAACCTTTTCTTCATCAGTTCGTACGTGTCCACGACTGGATATGAGCTGGCCCTAACGTACGAAAGATTTACGGCAAACAATACGCAATTCGATTGGCAAAACCAGATTTTTTCTCATCTTTTACGCTGCACATTTATAGACAAATATACAGGTTAAGTTGACCTAGATACTTTTAGGGGATTGTAGTTTGCATCATTTCTGACTGTTTCGACTACGAAACACCATACCTCAAACTTAACAGTTTTCAGGATATTGGCTATTTAAAAATTTTATAAAAATTGCCAGTTTTTTGTCTATTGTATTAATTTTTTTTGTAATTTTTGCATCTTGTTTTATTTTTCTTATAATTTTTGTGCAGTAGATAAGTTGCTTTATTATGTGGAAAACACTAAGATCTTAGGTAAATAAACAATCTGGGTCGCAGTAAACGATTGATAGTTGAAAAAAGAAATAAATTTGTACAAAGTATTTTTTTCTTTGAGGATTATTTGAAAAAAATCTATGGCAGGTATGTTGCAGATGTATTTAAAATATCTACGTTTCTTCAGCTATCCAACAAGGTATAACAATATAGGGTATTACCAGGATTCCTAGAAAAACCTTAGATGGAACGCTCACAATTAGTATTAAAAAATAACATTGCTCATGCGTCAAATTTATCACTTGGCTCTACCCATTGTATAGTGTTTCTCCTGAAATATGCAGGGCAACCGTAATGCGGAAGTCACATGTCTCCAATCTGATTGTGTGTTAAATCAACCAGTAAGGCGGATAAATCTTGTCTTAAAAAGTTTTCGTAGTGTTCTCCATTTAAATTGTTAGGTAGAAAGTGAAGCTCAATCAAACTGTTTGATATCATGCCTATCCATATATTCAAGCTGAATCGTCTTTGTGACCCCTCTATCCGTTTCGTGTTGGGATTTACCTGTTCTTTCAGGGCTTCATAATGAGCGTTGTGGTAGTAGGTTATACCATCTTTATCAAATTTGAACTCATTTGTTAAGAAAAATGGTATAACAGACAATTTTTTTTATGAAAATCTTAAATATCCAATATCTTGAAAACGGTTAAGTTTGGGGTATAGTGTGTCATAGTCAAAACAGCCGGAAATGATGTAAACTACAACCTCCTAAAGGATCTAGGTCGACTTAACCTGTAACCCTGTATAATATATAATTTACGGTTGATTTTTCAATCCTCAGTTAAAATTTATTCATAGGATAAAATGCACCAATAAATTGAAAATTTATATTCAATAAGCTTTACTTATAATTTACTCAATGGATAACTGTTATCCAACGATTGAAGTAAGTTAAATATTAAGATTAAATGTTAAAATTAAAAAAAGGAGATTGTTCTAACCCAATTCTAATTACTAACTAAGATACTTATCAAAAGCAGGACAATGGGCTCAATCTATACATTTCTAATCCCCATATACACAAGAATAAAGCCAGACTACTACTACTAGACAAATTATCACACAAATTATAAAATATATCTTAAAAACAGAATTAATACCTTCAAATTCTCAGAAACAGCTACAGTCACAATTTGCGGCTGTGGCGCCTCCTGTGACGTCACCACAACCTCGTTGCTCCTTCTGTGTGCAGCCGAAGTAATTATGTGCTTCTTAAGCGGCGAGTGTTTCGTTTGCACTGTTTTCAGCTGGACTCCGGACGCCAGCTGGATCTCCTCAATAGTGTCCTCCTTCCTCTTCTTCTCCACTTTGATGTGGGGAACGTCGTTGACCTCCTCCACGATGATGCTGGAGGTGGGCACCGGCTGCGCTGGTACGCGTACCTCCTTGGGCGTTTCGATGAGCGGTGGCGTGGGGGGCGACTTGACCTCGGGTTTGTCCACGTATATAGGTTCCTTATCAGCCGATATATGTACGACGGTCGATCCGAACGCTTCCCCTGCCTTCTTTCGCCTTGGGCCAGAGCCGGCACGCCCATCCAAGCTCTGGCCTTGCAATAAAAAAGGATCCTTTTCAACATCCTTCACAAGTTCCTCCAGTATATCATCAGTAATTGCAATTTTCTTGTCGTCTTTAGTCAAGTCAACATCTTCTAAAGCTTTCAAGTCTGTTTCCGATAGAATACTTTCAACTTGTGCTTCAGTAAGACCTGTGAAGTTTTCATTAAGTAAATCATCTCCACTTATGTCTAGACTACTGCCACTGTTGTCTACTTCAGGGTTCAAGGGCTCCGGATATAAGTCTCCTAATGTAAATTCTGATGTCGTGAATGAGTCCAAAACTTCTGATGGGGGCTGCTCTGCAAATCTTAACTCCACAGAAAACGGTGTGTCCAAAGCGATAGGGAATTGGTCATCTGGAGGCTTAGATTCATGTGGGGGCGAAGGCGGTGGTGTTTTTGGCCGAAAATGTAACCTGAAAAAATACGAAGTATGTTTCCACAAGACTTTAAAAAAATAAATAGCAAATATAAATACAACAAAAATTCTTTTTTTTAAACGAATGTGTCAACCTCAATATGCCCTACTACCGGGCACAGACCTCCTCTCATTTCTGAGATAGTTATTTTAGCAAGAAAGAGCTCAATGAAGCCTCCAGTGAAAATTGGCAAACATAATTCATATGATTTCTTTACCACTTTCTTCATTACAGAGCACATGATAAATGAACACATATAAAGTAAGTAATAACAATTAACAATTTTAGTGGTGCTAATGACTATCAAACTCAGTGGCGAAGCCTCCTAGAAGAAGAAGAAGCCGAAAAGCCAGGCTTGCCCTTTCAAACCGCTCAATCCACAATATCAACTAATAAATTAACTCGTAAAATGTTTCAAACTATTTCAAATTTCCCGCGCGCTCCTCTGTTCTACACAGGGCATGACCTCGCCTTAATTTGTAACGTCAACACTTGGCAGTTTGCTTTCAATTCGAAATACACTGATTCGTGTTCTCTCTGTCTCAAAGCGAACACGCAATGGACTGTCAAAATTAATGAAAGCAAGGAGTTGATTTGAGCGATAAGTCGTCTCTCTCGCACGCGTTGGCTTTTTACCGGGCTTTCGAGAAGACGATTACTCCCTTTCTAACCTGTGGCAAAATGTAGTATAATGAAATATAACTACGAAATGTTTACATAGCAAATTAGTATGCACCAAAAAGCCCAGCTTTCTTGAAGTCGTTTCCGAGTACAGGGGCGCGCGGGCGATACGTTTGCAAGTTCACTTCTCATTTCAATGTTTACTCCGTTTGTTTTAGTTGTGTCTGTTGATAATTTATGCTTTTTTAAAGATTGTTAGTGGATAATAGTAATCCTTGTGATGAATTGAAGTGTGTTAAAGTGCTAATCAGCGAGTAAAAGTTAAAATCTTTAAATTTTGTTAAGATAATCCACAAGGTCAAGAGCGTCTTCCAGATTTATCAATTATCGCAATTGAAAAACAGTTATTGGTACAATTAAAACATTCACCAACATTTTATGTGGACATAATCAAATATTTTCTTAAGAAAGAGAGACCATTCAATTTAGAATATAAATATTTTTGTTTTTTAATTTTGTACATAGTTTTTTTGTATTTTGTTCATATATCAACGAAAGTATGCAATTGCTGATATGTCATACAATCTATCTAGCAGTAGGTATGCCTTCTGTGTGCTTTGTGAAACACGTCCTTGACAGCACTGAATATGAAACTGAAGAGTGGAGACAGATCAAGATTGGTGTATTTTTATAAAACTGCTAAAAACAACAAAACCATATCTTGGGCTTACCCTAGTTTGGAGCCCTAGCTTCGCCACTGATCAAACTAAGGTTGTTTATTACTTTGAAATTTAAAACAAGAGTTAAATCTCTGTATTACCAATTTTCAAAAAATGCTTACCATTTTTTATTAACCTCATCAATGAACTGTTCAAACTCTTTCTCCACTGGCTGCAAACTTTCATCTGAATCATAACTGCTGTCACTGCACCCACTCCATGATCTCTTCCTGATCATACGCTTTAGATTTTCCTTAATCACACTGTCTATAGTTCTCGCACTAACACTAATATCACTTTTAACATCTTGAGGTAACATATCGTCCGGTAACAGTCCATCGACGTTCATTGGCTCCTGTTTGACGTCGACATCGGGCCTGACATCGATGTCTCTTTCGGGTTTGACGTCGATGTCCAGCCTGACGTCGCCGTCACCGTCACGTTTGACGTCGATATCGGGTTTGATATCGGTGGTCCATAAGCCAGGATATCTGGCGAGGTGCCGTCGGAAAGCATGTCGCCATGGATACTTTCCACTCGTATGATAATCCCGTTTCATTTCCTTTGGACTTCGATGTGCTTTTGTTTCCAACTCCACCTGTAATTTGAAACACTGAAGATTAGTTCAAATACTTAAACTGCAGATAAATTTTTAATGCACCCAAAAATAAATTGTTATTGTACTAGTAGATTTATTTTATTTAAAAAGCACTAGCAGTGGAATTAACGGTACTAATATTCCCGTTAAACACTCCAGTTGAGATTGTGCTTCACAACTGTAGTGGAATGGCAGTTACGAACCCACGACCTAACGACAGTTTCGCAGTCTGTAACTCAACCATTCGGCTACTGTCGCTTTTAAAGAATCCTACAACATAACTAAATTAAGTCGGCCACAGGTCGTCGAGCGGTGTGGCCACACGGCCCGGCAGCAGTGCACAGTGCACAGTGCACGCAGCGCGCGTACGTTCAGCACTTACCTCCTCGTCGCGCAAGGCGCGCTGCTCACCGGACGCGGGAAAGGCGAAGGGTAGCCGCGGCCACAGGTCGTCGAGCGGCGTGGCTATACGATCCAACAGCACGCGGCCGCCGCGACCCAGCCTTCGTCGAGCGAACCCCACGCAACGCGTGTACGGCTGCCGTAAGGATGTCAGCGTGAACCTGATGATACAAATGTCCATTTCACGTTTACTTGTTTCATACAACGGATTTATATATCTAAATTTAAAACCGTGGTGATCTGGGCGGCTTAAACACTATGTGGCATTCATTATTTTTATAAGAGTCAACTATAGTCTTAACCATGAAGGTTAGAGAACAGGAGAACAATCACTACGTACTAAAGCATAGCCCGCCTGTCCTTGAAAATTGTAGAATGAACAGCGGCGCTGACGTCGGTGAGTAGTGTGACTGCGAAGTTTTTCTTTATGAGTCTTTGTTTATGAGTACGTATACGTACGAGAGAGTAGAGTGTAGATGAAGTTAGTTGAATAATGTACAAATTTTCATTCCATTTTTAATGAGAAAATTTTCATGCTCCGTAATTTTGTAATTTTTGACAAAAAGAAACATAAAAAATGGAGAAATATTTTATTGCGCGTGGATGTGCAAGTGGTTTAGCATCTGATCGGAAAAATAGACTCAAAATAACTTTTATTGACCAAACCTCGAGTGATCATAGACCATACTCACTTATGGTGTCCATATTTCTGGACACTATTTTCTACGGTGAACGTTCTCCTGTTCTCTAACCTTCATGGTCTTAACGTTATGGCATAACACGGATTACAATTGAGCGTGTTTAGAAATGAAACAATTAGACATGTGCATGCATGATTCGTTCGTTTGAACCCATACACTTAAAAAAAGTATTGATGGTTCATTCATTTGTTTTTGAATGTCCGGTACATTCAAAAACAAATATGTCTCTGTATAATAACGTCTCGTACACTTTGTTTCCACGAAGTTCCAGAAAAAACCATCGCAGTGTCGTCGGCGTAAGAGTAAAATTTACCACCTTCAATGCTTAGATAGGAGAGGTCATTTATATAGATTAGAAATAGAGTTGGGGCAAGTAAGTAACTTTTCACCTTCGAAGTTACTTTAAGCGAGAACAACATAAATGCCGTAATAAATATAAAATTATTTAATTTCTTTTTCTTAATGTTACCATTTTCTGTGTTTATTTGTTTATAATGTGGTACATAAATCGTATGCTGCTTAAATTTAGTATACATAAATATGACGGTATTTCTTATATTTTGCGTTTGTATTCGCTTGACAGTTCTTACTTCTGATTGTGAGGCATATCTCTATTAATTAAAAAAATTACTAATAGTAAGCATAGTACGTAACTGCGTACGTAAATGAAATAAATTAAACTTTTATAATTTTATCAGTATAAAGAAAACTACAGTAGGCGAGATAACAGTCATATAAAAATTAATAGACGAAATTCAAGGTTTTTATTAAAACTATTAAACACTACTACATATTTTACTAATTTTAAACCCATAAAAAATAAAAGTAGTTTAATTCAAGGTTTTTTATTATTATTAAAAAAAATTGTAGTATCTCGCAAACGCACGCAAGTTACGATTCTAGTGATCTGTCATCAGCACCATGCTATAACGCTAAGACTACAAAATCCACTTAAAGTATTATGCGTAACACACTATTGAATATTTGTATGCATATTTAATGTAAAAATTGGGGCAGATCAAACATGAGCGTAGAATGTGCAAGTATTACGGTAGCAGATGTAATTTATAATGACATCAAAACGTCTGCTTTCCATGTACCTACACGTGCACGTGTGAAAGCGAGGTTTCTCGTATACTTTCATATATTTATCACACGTGACTTGTCAGTAGAATCATGCTGCAACTGTATTATGGTTCTAACACGAATGGGTCGGCTCGGCCGGGGAAGGACCACGCTCTCACAGAATAACAGCATAAAATAGCAGCTTAATGCTGCTGTATTGCGTTCGTATGGTGAGTGTAGAGAACCGGAAACTCATTTAGCTGGAAACGAGGAATTACATCTTAGTTCTCAGGGGTGGCAACGCATCTGCATTTTGATTTTTAATTAAGAACAGATGTAGATGTGTATGGGCCACATCATCCACATACCATCAGGTGGACTGTGTGCTCATAAAAAAAGATGCGGTACATACACGCGTTCGGTTTTTTATTGCTTCGGCCTTTAATAACTTCTTGTCACACAATGTAAGTGTGTATATTTAGACAAATCCTTTTCGACACATTTTCGAGTCCCCCATAGCCCAAAAACTATTATAACTACTGTACTACTGCTGTAATTTTACATACCTAATCCTTGAATACCTATAATCTCAGATTTCATTAATAAAGTAATTATAGCTCTAGAGTCATTAAGATCTGAAAAATGCAATTTCTATCACTCACTGAATCACTCAATAAAAACTTAAACCACTTCTAGGTTACTCAGAAAATTGAAATTTGGCGTTAAAATAAATCATTAGGCGTATACAAAGCAATCTGAACTTTAGAAAATATCGATATTCTATATCGAAGAATATTAAAATTTATTTCTTACCTATTTCTCTCATCCAATTCATGTTCGTAGAGACCTTCTTTTGATGGACTACCGGGATCCACAGGGTCGCCGCAAAGAGTAGACGTAGGCTGAAACAAAATTGCTACAGGTTAATGACATAAATATTGTATTGATAGGTTCTTTATCTGCCTCTTTAAACTACATATTTCTGCTGTCAAGCAACAGTGCGTACATTGCTATTCCGATATGAAGATTATAGAGAACCAGTAATTTTTTTAATTTTTTTTTATAGAGAGAGCAAACGAGCATACGGTTCACCAGATGTTAAGTGACTACCGCAGCCCATGACCAACCGCAACACCAGGGGCATTGCAGGTGCGTTGCCGGCCCTTTAGAAAGGAGTAAGCTCTTTTCTTAAAGGTCCCTAGGTCGTATCGATCCGGAAAAATCGCCGGTGGTGAATTATTCCACAGAGAGGTCGTACGCGGAAGAAAACTCCTAGCGAAACGTACAGTGGTGGAACGACAAGCATCCAGATGGTGTGGATGGTATCGGTAGGTTAGCCGCGTAGTGCGTTCATAAAATTCGGCGGCTGCGATTAATCCGAACAATTCCTCAGAGCACTCACCGGGAGAGATACGATAAAATACGCAAAGAGATGCAACATCTCTTCGCAGCGCCAGTGAATCGAGCCGATCGGAAAGCACTCGGTCGTCGACAACGAGCCGCTCTGCGCTCTGGATGCGGTCAAGTGGAAGGAGCTGGAACTGGGGAGCCCCAGCCCAGAGATGGGAACAGTATTCCATGTGCGGCCAAACCTGCGCCTTGTAAAGTTGCAGGCGGTGTGCCGGCATGAAATACTGTCCCGCTCTGCTGAGTACGCCAAGCTTTTTAGAGGCCAATTTGGCCTTCTCTTCCAAGTGACCATGAAACTGCACGTCACTCGATATGTCGACGCCGAGGATTCCGGTACTGGCTGAGGCAACAAGGGGAGTGCTTCGAAACTGAGGAGATACGACAAAGGGGTTCTTTTTAGCGGTTAACGCACAAATTTGTGTCTTCTGAGGGTTAAACTGGACTAGATTTAGTCGCTCCTAAACCGAGACTTTGTCCAGCAAAGACTCGACTTCAGACACAAGTTTGTCCCGGAACTCGGAGACGTTTTCCCGAGAAATATTGGCTCGGCCGGTGTAAAGAGCATCACCAGTGCTGTCATCTGCATAGCAATAAATGTTGCCGGTTTACAACATATCATTGATATGCAGAAGAAACAGACAGCACGCAGCCTTGTAGAACACCAGCATTAACCCATTGGAGCATAGCGTCCGATAAATCGGACCTCAATTAATCCAACATTTGAAAGGCAAATGAAATATATTTATAGTTAAAATACTTTTAAAATAGAAGTTTAATATTTTTTATACAATGGAAACACTAATTCATTGGAGTGAATGAAGTTATCTGCGCGTCAATTGTCAATTTCTAAAATAGCGGTACGCAAGAATACTGTGTCACGGCAAGGGTAAGCATTTATTACTATTTTTATTATTTATTCATAAATTAAAACATTATAAAATAGATATTTGTATTGATAAGCTAACAGACTAACTAAATATAAGTGCTTTTTCACAAGATTGGCGTTATATTAACTGCTAAGCTTGCGATTTTTATGCCGTCCGATTTATCGGACGCTATACCAGCGGACATTGCATGTGGTGTTTTATTATTATTTTGCAGTTTGTAAAAGCATGAAATTTTATCTGCTTTAGAATGTGATGAAGAGAGTGATTATGTAGAAAATCGTATTTATGTGGAGCCCCCGATCGAAGACGGTCTTACTGAAGAAGATAGTGATAGATCATACGAAGAACACAAACCCAACCTAAATCATTTAGGATGCAGATCATTTCAAAGTAGGAGTGAACTACAACGGGTACGACGAGCTGATGAAGATGATGGTCATCCTTCTATATCTGTGGGCAATGGTTCAAATATTAGTTTTAGTTACAGTTTTATTGCAGGATTGTTTTTTGAGTAGTTCTGGTAGCGAAGATGACGAGCCCCTTCCTTAGCGAGGAGAGAAGTCATTATGCCTTCCGTCTAGGTAATGGTATTTTCGTTGCAGATGGAGTGACAAAAGTGTCGTAGCCACGAATTTCGAAAATTTTGAAATGGCAAGAGCAACTTGGTGGTCCAACGTAATAAAGGCGAAAGTTTTAGTGCCTCAGCTACCACTTATATCGAATCAAAATAAAAGTATGGCTGGCGTTGACAAATTTGACCAGGCTGTAGCTAATTTGTGAACGCGAATGCGTATAAAGAAATGGTGGTGGACAACACTTTCTTATTTTGTAGATGTCTCGGTTGTCAATGCCTGGTATCTAGCTCGAAAAAACTGATTTCCAGAAGTCACTGAATCATTGTTCTGCATTTAGGCGCTTTATAGCAAGAAGTTTACTGGCTACACACAGGACACCATCACATGAAGGACGTAAACCAGTGAAATCAATGTCCTCAATGTGGTATAATAGCAGAGAATACTGTCTTGTCGCCATAAGTACCGAGCGCCGGTGTGCTAACCAGTGTGGAGGAAGAAGCAAATTTCAATGCTCGAAGTGCATTGTAGGTCTTAACCCTAAGTGCCACGTGGAATACCATGTCACTACAACTTAAAATAATTTGTTTACTTTTGAATACATTTTTTTCCTCAATTTTCTTAGTTTTATTTTATATTATAATTTAATCCCCTTCAGTATGAATAAATGTCCGCTATGCATAGCGTCCGATTTATCGGACGGGCTATAATATCTAAGCCGTCGCAAGATTCAATTGTTTTTTGTCTTTAATCCTTCAAACTCATCCTAAATCATAATAATTTTTAATAAACATGATAAAAAAGCCATAAATTAACTTTATGCACTAATGGGTTAATAGGCTTGTAATCGGAGCTTGCACCGTCTACAACGACCTTGATGCTCCGATCTGCAAAAAAAGCTGGCGATTCAATTGCACAATTTCAGAAACAGAAAAAAGTTCTGATGTAGCAGATCAGAAATAAGAACACACATAAAAAAGTCGAATTAAGTACCTCCTCCGTTTTTTAAAGTCGGTTAAAATATGTTGAATATGTTTTGTTACTAAAATAATAGGTAATGGAATAACAAGCGATATGAAAGGTACAAAATAACAACTCCTTAATTTACGTACGAGACTAAGGCTCATCGACCAGGTTACCAGAAAAGGGTAAAAGAAGTTACAAGAACAATAAGTTGCCATATACGCTATTTTGTTTTCATTCAACAAAATCTACAAAAAATATAAATGTTATTAAGATATAAATATGCAGGATATTTATTGAATATTAAATTCATTGATTCAATAATGAAATTAAATTCAGTAGTAGAATGAAGTTCCTTTTATTTAAAAGAAATAAGCAGTTATGTCCATAATAAGTGAGTGTATTCAATAACATTTGGAAAAGGAATTTCTTGTTTTTATTATTTTTACTTAAATTATAAGCAATATAAATTAAATGAATTCGAAAATACCTTTAACTGTGTTACCATTTTTCCTTCCGCGGTCCATGATGGGATGCATCCCATCATGGACCGCGGAAATGAGAACGTATATATATATATATATATATATATATATATATATATATATATATATATATATATCTAATGTCAGAGAAGCATGGAGCGTAGTATGCTAAAAATAAGAAAAATATATAAAGTACGACATACAAAAATAAGAAATATCACAAATGCTATTGTTGCTTTGAGTTATGCTCAAAAGTTAAAATTTCGATGGGCCGGCCACGTAGCACGTCTAGAAGATAAGAGATGGACTTCCATCATAACCACACGGAATGGCCCTCCAGGAAAAAGACGTCCAGGCAGATAGATAATATAAAAAGATCGCAGGACTGGGGACTGGGAAGATAATATAAAAAAGATAGCAGTACCACGTTGGACCCAAATAACAGAGACAAATGGAAATCTTTGGAGGAGGACATCACCTAAGGGGGGTCCATGCAAAGCAAACAAACACAAAATAGTATATAGATCCTTAATAAATTATAAATTAAAATATTTTGTCATTTTACAACTAATTTAAATAAATTTTTTTAAAATAATTAAGTTATAAAAAAGCAAATCCATTTAAAATAGTCACTTAAAATTTATAAATCAATTACATAGATTGAAAATATTAATGTTATTAGTGATGCACATTGAATTAAATTAATAAATTAATTTTAATTTTAACCAAATATTATGAAAAGTAGTAATCATACTCAAAATTATGCAATTAATTATTAACTCAATCAAATTCATTCAATAATATAAAAAATAAATTATTGTATTAAAATCTAAAAAAAATCTAAATTTATATTTTCAATTTCCTTTATAAAATGTAAATTACATTGTAAAAAAGTTATATTGTAAAACTTATTTAGCATGGAATAAAAGGCTTTTTTATTTTAATTTTTTTATTTTATTTTTATTTATTTATCTACCAACCATCTCATAATAGCAGCCAGGCTTCCTACGAAATGCAAAGGGCCCATCGTCAATCGTTTCCACTCGCGTAGTTGCCCCGCCGGGCGCAGACGCGCTCGCTTCTTCGTCTGACGATGTGCACACGCCCGAATCTGAAACATTATATTAGTTACACTTCTTTCTAAAATTACGTCTGAGGTGAAAAGCCCCAAAACCATTATATGGCTCGAAGGACCAAGCATTGTTAATTGATTTGAGATTAATATGCAACGATGCTGAATTTTAATATGTATATCTAGGAATACATTTCATGCAAAGTGGTAGATATTATTATAACAGTAGAAGTTTAATGAAGTCAAAGTAAAGTGATAGCCACAGTTGGATCCAAGTTTTCCGTCTTCCATTAAAGATTCTAGAGAAGCGAAAAGTTCATCACTGTTTTTTCTGTTCTATTACACGTTGGCAGATTTCACATAATATCCTCATTAAAAAAAATTTAAGAATGTGACTTTCTTCACTATGCTTTCCCTGACCGCCGAGTACGAGGTGAATCAGCGCTTAAAATAACGATAGAAAATTTTAGTGGTCCCGAAGCCCCTCATGTTTGCTGAATAACTATCAAATTTTTAGGTAGGCGTTTTTTTCCTGAGCTATCTCTGCTGTTTTTGAGTTACCTTGTAATGGTTTGAAATCTAAATAGCCTTTGTGGGACCATATTGCATTTTATGTGGTAGAGCATCTTTTGGGCCAAGGAGTGGGGTACAATTCTCTAATCTCACAAATACATCCACTGTTGCGTTCCCGTTTGAAGGGTATTTAGAAAATACTAGCATAATTATTATAGGCTGTGATGCATTCAATTTTAGTTTTCAGTGGTATAAACATTTCTGCAGCCTTCTTGTTGTTTGTAGCTGGCCATAGGTTGCAGTAACCACTAATTATCAACAGGTAGATTCATTGTTCATTTGGAAATTCAATACTACACAAAATAATATATAATATATATCACAATTGAATTATTAGCATTTATGATACTTAACAGAAAGTGCGATAAATAGAAGAAAAGATTTTCATTTTTTTTTCTTTTAATAAATAAACCATAAATAAACAATATTTCAAAATGAATGATGTTCTATAATAGTAATAAATATTTTAAATTTAATAGAAAACTATTCAACAACTATTTTACTTGGCACATGGCCGCAAATTCCAGAATGGTGAGCACACTAAGATAAAACTGATTTTAAATTTAAATTTCATATTTTTCTAGGGGCAATAGTACATTATGTCAAAGGTGTACGCACAATATATATTTATATCTGTTGCTTTGTCTGCGTGTGTGCACTCACCTCGCAGCCCCTGCACGGAGCCGACGGCGTGGTGCCTGTGTTTCCGTCTCTTGTATGGACGCTTCTCTCGCTGTAAGGTAACCAGTCACTTGCATAATACCACTCTCATACTATCACAAATATATGGAAATCCTATTCATTAATTCAATAAAAATAGTTAAAAATTTATTTTAGTACGTGCAGCAATAAATTTAATATGAACAATTATTAAAAATTATATCCAGTAGTAAACAATAAGTCATATTATAACAACTTAATAGATAAAACTTTTCTTCCGAGTTTAATATATCCTGTAAAACCCAATATATCCGACATCATTACAATATGGAGTTATTTATTATGAAACGTAATTATTATGAGGGAAGTTTTAATTACTTTCTCAAATTTCAATAATTATATATTTTTTTAAATAATTATATACTGATGTAGAAGAAACTATAAAATATAAAAATTAAATTAATTTAAGAGAGACAAGCAGCGCTTACTCAACATTTTAAACAATTATGATCTTTACTTCTTATTTTGAAAACTTTTTTAATTACGTATTGATGAATTCTGGTACGAATGAAGGGCAGAAATGGAACTCACATACTTTAGATTTGGAAAAAGTCATTTTCTAATTCATTAAAGTCGGCTATTTACGGTTGGATTAATGTCATTAAGATTATTTTGGTCATCCTTTCACTTAAAATAAAGTCAGTTAAGTAAAACTTTTATATTGATTGTACTCTTGCGTAGGGGGGTTATTGTTGGGGTATGTCGACATTTGTATAGTATATATAGATTTCTAATTGTGCTAACCTGTCTAGGCTGATCGACGGGCGTGGGCGGTGCTCTCGGCGGGTAGTGTTGCACCGCGTACGGCTCTCGACGGAAACTTATGGTTGATATTGGCACGGTGCTGTATTGCCTGGAGAAAAGACAAAGATTCGTTGATTAATTAGAGTTTAGGCCACTTTTATTATGTATTGTAGTGTAAGAAGGTAGTGTATATATATTTCAAGTAATGTATTTCTCCATTATGGTCTACCAAAGTCCCACCAACCGAAAAAAGCCTCCCTATACAATGTCTCTTAAAGTAAATATCTGCCATAGTTACCACGCTTCGAATTGTTATTATATTAGGAAGACGCCGCCCATCTCCTGGTTTGTTTCGCTTTATGGCCTCTTACGACACGCACGAGACGATATTAGGTAGTGGATGTTCCTTACACTGCCCCAACTTGGTTAAAGTGATGCATGTATATATAGAATTATGTTCTACGTGTGGTATTTCTTGAGCTGGGATTTATCATTAGATTTTAAGGAAAATTATATTGTAAGTTGGGAGATTTGCTTTAATACCGACGCTTAACAGGAAGGTTAGACTTTGCAATTTAAATTGTTTTTACGAATCTTTTGTTTTTAATTACTAGCATATTGTAGAGTGTATGCCGTGTAGTGGCGGTTAAGAATATCCACTACCCCATATCTTCCCGTGGGTGTCGTAAGAGGGACAGAGGGAGACAGGCAGGAGATGGGCAGCAGCATCTTCCTGATAACAGCAACTGTACGACAAAAAAAACTGCGGTTGCCAACCCGCTCGCCAAGCGTGGCAACTATGGCAATATACCCCCCCATGAACAATTACACAAATAGACGGCCCCCAGTCCCCGGCGGCCCCGCTATTCCTGGCTACGGTGGCGACCATGGTAACGCGGCGGGGCAGGGGGTGCTAAGAATCTCCGGTGGAGGTTCGGTTGCCACCTACGACGACTCGAGCTGGCAACATTTAACGCACGCACACTGAGGACTGACGAGAAGATCCTGGAGCTGGAAGAAGAGATAGACAAGTTGCGCTGGAGTATTATAGGATTATCCGAAGAGAGGGGGGAGGACACGGTGATTCTCGAATCCGGCAACTTGTTCTATCACCGGGAGGGCAACCATCTGTCCCAAGGAGGTGTCGCATTTATCGTCCACAAGTCTCTCGTCAACAACTTTGTAAAGATTGGGAGTGTGTCGACGAGGGTCGCGTACCTGATACTCAGAATCACCAAACGGTATTCGCTGAAGGTCATACAGGTTTACGCACCAACCTCGGCACATTCCGATGAGGAGGTGGAGGAAATGTATGAGGATATTTCCAAATCCATGCATTCCTCCAAAACCCACTACACGGTGTTGATGGGAGACTTCAACGCAAAACTAGGCACAAGAGAAAACGGTGAGCTGAAGTTAGGGAAATTTGGAGTAGGGCAACGGAACCGAAGGGGCCGACTTTATGGAGAAAGAGGGACTCTTTATGATGAACTCTTTCTTCCAGAAGCGGCCCCACAGGAAGTGGACCTGGTCGAGCCCCGACGGTTCGACAAAAAATGAGATTGACTTCATTATGACGACCAGACGCCAACTGTTCAGTGATGTCTCAGTGATCGCAAGGGTGAAAACTGGCAGCGATCACCGAATGGTTAGAGGCACACTGAACCTAAACGTTAAGTTGGAGAGGTCTCGTCTAAAGAAGTCAACGCTCCGTCCCCCTCGTGCTCTAATTCAAAATCCCGAAAACTTTCAGCTCGAGTTACACAACCGCTTTCAGTGCCTACAAGATTGCAATGCAGTGGACGATGTGAATGACAAGCTCGTGGAAACTGTCCATGCGGTCGGAGCTAAGTTCTGCAAGACCCGCCGCAGAAGAACACAAAAACTCTCCGATCACACTCTTAATGTGTGTCTCATGGCTATTATACGGGAGATGAGGCTGCAATTGTCAACAGATTTGACAGCATAAAGGCAACTGAACAGACAGATCTCCAAATGCATGCGGCGAGACTTACGCAACTTTAATACTGCTCGTATTAAAGAAGCGATCGAGCGGAACCAGGGCTCCAAAGTCTTTGCCAGAGATCTGTCTGCCCGTAAGAGCCAACTGTCAAAGCTGAAGACTGAGTGTGGCAGCATCGTTTCCGGACACCAGAGATTTTGAGTGAGATTGAGAGGTTCTATGGGCAGCTGTACACATCATCGTTGGAGCCACACGCAAGTGTGAGTAACGATCCAAGAGCAAGTCTTATCCGACACTATTCCGATGATATCCCGGACGTCAGTCTAAGCGAGATTAGAATGGCTCTCCAGCACCTTAAAAACGGCAGGGCCCCAGGCGAGGATGGAATTACAGCCGGAGCTTCTGAAAGCGGGTGGAACACCGGTACTTGAAGTCCTTCAGAAGCTCTTCAATTCCGTCCTCCATGGTAGCACTACTCCAGAGGCGTGGAGCAGAAGTGCGGTGGTCTTGTTCTTTAAGAAAGGCGACAACGCTCTCTTGAAGAACTACGGACCGATTTCCCTTCTGAGCCGCGTCTACGTGCTGTTTTCGAGAGTCATTACGAATCGTCTCGCACGCAGACTCGACGACTTCCAGCCTCCCGAACAAGCCGGTTTCCGAAAAGGCTTCAGTACCATAGACCACATACATACCCTGCGGCAGATTGTACAGAAGACTGAAGAGTACAATTTGCCACTTTGCCTGGCGTATGTGGACTATGAGAAAGCCTTTGATTCCGTCGAAATTTGGGCGGTGCTGCAGTCCCTTCAGCGGTGCCAAGTTGACTGTCGGTATATCGAAGTGCTGAAATGTTTGTACAGTAGGGCTACGATGGCTATCCGAGTACAGAACCAGAGCTCGAAACCTATCCAACTGCAGAGAGGTGTAAGACAGGGTGACGTTATATCCCCGAAACTCTTCACCGCTGCTTTGGAAGACGTTTTCAAGCTACTGGACTGGAAAGGATACGGTATTAACATCAATGGCGAGTACATCACTCACCTTCGATTTGCCGAAGATATAGTCCTTATGGCAGAATAGCTGGAGGACTTAAGCATTATGCTCAATGACCTCAATAGTACCTCCCAACGGATAGGTCTTAAGATGAACATGGACAAAACAAAGATCATGTTTAATGTCCATGTCACACCTATGCCGGTAGTTGTTGGGAGCACTATGCTCGAAGTTGTTGACGAGTACGTTTACCTGGGACAAATAGTCCGACTTCGACTAGGTAAGTCCAACTTCGACCGAGAGGTCAATCGACGGATTCAACTCGGCTGGGCAGCGTTCGGGAAATTACGACACATCTTCTCGTCAGGTATACCTCAATCTCTGAAAACTAAAGTGTACAACCAGTGCGTGTTGCCAGTGATGACTTACGGATCAGAGACGTGGTCCTTCACTGCTGGCCGTATGAGGACGCTCAAGGTCGCTCAGCGAGCTATGGAGAGGGCTATGCTCGGAGTTTCTCTGCGTGATAGACTCAGAAATGAGGATATCCGCAGTAAAACCAGAGTGACCGACATAGCCCAACGGATTAGTAAGCTGAAGTGGCAATGGGCCGGCCATATAGCTCGAAGAACCGATAACCGATGGGGAAGAAAGGTTCTCGAGTGGCAGCCTCTTACCGGCAGGCGTAGTGTAGGGCGACCCCCCACTAGATGGAGTGACGACCTGGTAAGATATGCAGGAAGTCGATGGATGCAGGTGGCTCCGGACCGTGCTTTGTGGCATTACTTGGGGGAGGCCTATGTTCAGCAGTGGACTTGTGAAGGGCTGTGATGATGATGATGATGATGATATTGTAGAGTTATAAAGCCATTTGAAGGATGATATATTTTAAAAAGTTATTGTTTAAAAAAATAGGTAAATTTTTTAAACGGCAATAAGTAAGAGATCATCATGATTATCATTAACCCTTCAAAAATCCACTGCTGAACATTAGCCACCCCAAGTAATAACACAAAGAACTGTCCTGAGCCACCTGCATCCATCAACTTCCTGCATGTCTTACCAGGTCGTCATTCCACCTAGTAGAGGCCCCCCTACACTTTGCTAACCGGTACGAGGCTACCACTCGTGAACCATTCTTCCCCATCGGTTTTCGGTTCTTCGAGCTATATTCGGCCCATTACTACTTCAGCTTACTGATCTCTTGGGCTATCGGTTTGCTGGACCAACTGCGAATATCCTCATTTCTAAGTCTACCACGCAGAGAAACTCAGAGCACAATCATTATGGATTATAATTACACCTGAGATTTATTTTTAATTTATTTGTGTTGTTTGTTGTGTGACATACATAATGATGAGCTATTATTTTTATTTAAAGTCTGGTTTTCTTGCTGGTTCTTATTAGGACACAGGTTTTTTTCCAAACTAGTGGTAATTAAACAAACGAGTGATATTCAATAAGTATTATTTACAATATATTGATTAAAAATAAATGTTTCTGTTTATTAATCGCTGAGCGAACTTGAGCTTCCTCATACGGTCATCAGTGGAGGACCAAAGTGTCAGATTCATACGTCACTGGCAACACGCACTGGTTGTACAATTTGTATTCTAATTTTGAGGTTATGTATAACTTCAAAACTTGGAAACCAACCTAGTAGAATCCGTCGATTAACTTCTCGATCGAAGTAGGACTCACCTAATTTTGTCCCAAGTAAACCTACTCGTCGACAAATTCAAACGTAGTACTCCCAACTACAGGCATTGGTGTGACATAAATGTTACATGAGCATGACGTTTGTTTTGTCCACGTTCATTTTATATCCATTTTTTGGGTGTCACTATTAAGGTTGTTGTTTTTTTGAGCATTATGCTTAGATCCCCCATCGATCCTGCCATAATGACTATATCATCGGCAAATCGAATATTCGTCATTGATGTTAATACCGTATTCCTTTCCAGTTCAATAGCTTCTAAACGTCTTGCAATACAGTGGTGAAGAGTTTCAGGGAAAGATAAGATTAAAGATATGTAGAGATTATTAAAGATGAGATTTCGGGATAACAGGTAAAAATTATAATACGATGAAAAAAACCTTGAACTTTGTCCTTAAAAAATTATGAGTTCTTTTTAAATACAACGGTTTTGCTT